CATCACCAGCCACTCCCAGAGCATGCCGCTCGGAGTGCTTACCGCTGTCAGCGGAATACTACTCGCTTTTATGAGCAATTGGTAATACCCATCGACCAAGTCGAGTCTACTGTACTTCGTACATCCCACCAATTTGTTCTGAAGAACATCTCTTCTAGGACTCAGCGTCTGTGTCAGAATGGTGGCAACGTTGGACTTATTGTAAGCATGAACGATACGCATCTTGCCGTTCGGCTTCCGAATATAAAACGTGGGTGTCAGATGGGGCGACTTGCTCTCACGTACCATTCCTGCGTCGTGCTTCGCACGGAAAAAGGCGTCAATGACGTCGCACTGCTTCTTGGGCAGGGGCCATTGGCGTGTTACGCAGTATTTGACTCCCGGAACCGGGTCGATCTCATGACGCACACCTCGGTCCGGAGGTAGGACCGTCGGCGGGTCTTTATAGACGACGTCTTGAAATTCCTTCACCAAAGGGTAAAACGGATTCGAGGGATTATGTAGGATCGACGATCCACTTCGTCCGTTCAGCACTCTCTTGGTGTCCTCCAAGACAGCTTCATCCAGAAGCGATGACGAGTTTTTCTCCTCGTCCGGTCGTACAATGACCACTTCTGCCAAATCGCCTGCCTTCAAAGCACTGCCGAACTCTTCAAGGGACATCTCGATCAGCTCAAGAAGAGAATCTACTGCAGACATAGCCTCGAGGTGGACGTCGCCATCTACCTCCCCTGTCATACTGTTGACGAGGGTGTATAACTGTGCACCGTCGTCTACGGTAGACACACCCTGGATCAGGGTCGACGCCCGGCGTCTTGTAGCCAGCATACGCTTTGCCGTCGCCTCGTTACAGAGGTTCTATGTCTTGGTGAGACCAGGGTAAACATGCATTCCACGTCGTCCGGTGTCAACCTCACTTTCTGCTCCAAAGGAGCAGAAAGTGAGGTTACATACGACAAAGAGGGCCTAACCCCGCAGTCTTTGTCTAGTGGAAAACGGGCTACTCCACGCGCATCTGAAGGGCCGCGCTCAAGATGCCTCGGACTCTGTCCGACCACGCCATCGATGGCATGCAGCGACTGCTTCGACACTCGAGCAGCGCTCAGTGGTTTACGTGCCACTTCATGTGCATCACAGAGGCCTCGCCCTCAATGACTCGGTTCTTGGCCGACCATGTCACGCATGGAATGCAGCGACTGCTTTGAAAGCTGAGCAGCACTCAGTGGTTTACGTGCCACTCCACGATCAGCCCGCAAGCCACGCTCGGGACTCCTGTCCGATAAACCGTTGGTGTCTACCAACTCGGACATTACAATGTCTAGCACGTTGACCGTCTCGGTCTAGTGCTCTCGCCAATAGCGCTTTTTTCTCCTAGCAGGGGTGGGATCATGACACGCCAAAACTGCACCAGGAGACGTGCGCGTAGCGCCCAAGGTCTTTGACCTCCAATCAATTCATGGCTCATGGTGTTCCAACCATGTCATTCCTAGGATGAGGTCATATCTTGCATCCAAGTCTAAGACTAGACAGCGTTCCACGCTATCAAAGTCAAGGAACTTGACTCCGAGGTCCACAGGGACCTTCAGGACTGTGACACGTGTTCCCGTCGCAAGGCGAAGAGTAACAATGCCACCCAACCGCGCTTTCAGCGCCTCAGTATACAGCTGGATTCCTTCCATCGTGGAGCGTCAAGCATAATTGCCCGACGCCCCGGAATCGATAAGTATTTCTCGAAGCCCTTTACGGTCGCCTCTACGACCAGCAAGCCCGGCTTGCATACACGTTCCGCGTTCAAGAGCACGGAGCTCTTCGGGACTTCCTCCCTGAGTCTCAACAGAACTCAGTCCTTTCCTAGTAGGTCGCCCCACGCCTGCTGGGTGATGTCGTTTCCCCGCGACGAACCAGACTGGTAGGTGTTGGGACGATGGCTCGAAGAACCTTGACGCGCCTTGCGCAGGGGGTAATAGTTCCGAAGGTGACGGGTGTTTCCATAGACAAGAAACCGTCGTGTGTTTGCGTGCTACCCGGCAGCTCGGAGCTCTGCTCCCTCGTCCTCAGCATAGCTGAGATCCATGGGCATAGGCCCGCTCGACGAGCTGTTGGAGTGTGCATTCCAACCAAGTCGTGCCGACTTGAAATTGAACTCGGCATTCAATTCCACATTCACCGCCTCTTCAAATGAAGACGGATGCACACGGAAGACCTCCATTCTGGCCACGCCAGTGCGAAGGTCTTCCATAAAGACGGTCACTGTGACCGCCCCCGGAAGGGGATCTGCTGCCATTCCGGCAATAAGAGTGCGCATCTCTTGAACAAAGTCCACCAATTTCCTGTTGCCCTGTCGGGCGGAATGGGGGCGCGATCGTA